GCTAAAGGGTGAGGCACTTGGGAGCAAATGGTAAGGTGTTCTTGGCAGCAGGCCTTCACTTCTACCATCAGAAATGTAATTGACTAAAATATTGTAAAAAGCATCTTTATCTGGCCTTTTCAATGACTCCTGGCTCTTCTCTCTCACGTTTAAGTCTACTTGAAAGGTGTTTCTGAGCGTTGTTCTCTTTAAAAGTTGTAGAGTTGTGGGTGTCATGAGGTGCAGTGTATGGTGTGTAGGTACTACAGTGACACCTATCTTTTAGTATAAGTACTTAGAGAATCTGTGGCACTCTTTTTTTTCTAATGTTAAGTGCTCAACTCCCAGAGTTGATAGAGAAGCTGCAGTGTGCTTCCAAACATGAAATAAAAGTAATCTTTTCACTACCTGCTTCATAGACTGCCAGTTAAATACAATGTAAAATAAGATGTCTCCCATCTACTTGAACATACATGCTTAATTTCTCACTCTGTTGGCTGTTACTGAATCTCTACCACTATTCAGAAGAAACTGCGACCAAACTATCTACTTGATCTTATTTGGCTAGCGAGAGGGTACCGCATAGACCATTGCTGTAGCCCAGGGGGAGGCAACCTATGGCAAGGCGGCACGCGAGCTGATTTTCAGTGGCACTCGCACTGCCCGGGTCCTGGCCACCGGTCCGGGGGGCTCTGCATTTTAATTTAGTTTTAAATGAAGCTTCTTAAACATTTTAAAAACCTTATTTACTTTACATTAAACTATTGTTGTGTTATATATTATAGACTTGTAGAAAGAGATCTTCTAAAAACATTAAAATGTATTACTGGCACGCGAAACCTTAAATTAGAGTGAATAAATGAAGACTCGGCACACCACTTCTGAAAGGTTGCCGACCCCTGCTGTAGCCATTTATCCTTCTAAAATATAACGTGCTTCAGTATTGATATCCTACCGTTGCAGCACTCACTCTGGCTGGTAAGTTGAAAAGCCCTGCTTTCTTGTGGGACAATTAATAATTGCCTGAGAAATAGAGGAAGGTGGTGTTTGCACTGTAATGATGGTAGCCCCTTTCCTAAGTCAGTTCAGGCATGCGCTGCTTCTCCCTCTTGAGAAGAAAGTTCAGAGAGCAAATAGAGAGGCCTTCCAGTCTGCTATTAGTGCAGCACCACCAGAATACACTTTACTACTTTTTAACAGGGGAAAAAAAAAACCCTTGAATTTGTGTATACAGTTCGTGACAGTTCCCACCGGGCCTGGAAAACATGGAGAGAGGCTAAGGGTTAAAGTCTTGATCTTTTGATCTGTTTTTTATAGGAGTGTAAACTTATGCATCTAGTACTCAGAGTATATTTTGTAATGTAACAGTGGTATTTCCTAGGTATTTGTAAAGCAAAGGAGTCCCTCTGCAGCCCATTTTAAATTTCAAAATGAATAGATTGGTTTAGAGTACATTTGAAATTATTTGAATCAAAAATAGGTGAATTTTGTTTAAAAAAAAACAAAGAAATTACTATTATGTTTTAGTATTCAGGTTGACCCAATCTGGTATGTAGTAATTTAGTAGATCCATTTGTATTTTCAGTCTAGATCAGATATCTTAAGAGGGATATAAAATAACAATTGTGCTGCTGGTTCATTATAAGAAAAAGTCAAAATGTTCTTGGGGAGTTCATTGTCCCCTATGTGTGGTGGTGTACTTGTTAAATGGCAAATTTATGGTGCGTTTTTGACCCCTTATGTATATGGGTTAAATAGCCACTGAAATTAATACAATATTGATCTTTTTTTTATTTAAACAAAGCTGTGGCTAGATGTGATGTAATTGCATTTTAACTCTTTGCAGTTTGAAGATGGTAACGCTTCTGTTCTAAAAATTAACTTACAGTAAATGTGTTCAAGAAAAAATATGGTGAATTGCCATACCAACTTTACACAAATATTTTATGGGCAAAATTTCCAAAATAATTGTCAGAATTTATCCAGACATTTTTTATTAATCTTTTTTGTAGTTATAGTTAAATCATTGTGCCCAATCTCAACACTTCCATTTTTTTGTTACAAGTATGAAGCGTTATATTCCTCATAGTAAATATATTCATTGGACTTCTTGTTGTATTCTTGACATAGCTAGATAGTTCATGAATTGCAAAGATAATAAGTAGGAAATTCCCAAATCCGAGGGAATCCATCTAGCTAGCATATCAAATTATAATTTATAATTGTAATTTGCAATAAAACAATACACCTCTACCCCAATATAACGCTGTCCTCGGGAGCCAAAAATCTTACTGCGTTATAGGTGAAACTGCGTTACATCGAACTTGCTTTGATCCACTGGAGTGCGCAGCCCCGTCCCCCCAGAGCGCTGCTTTACCGAGTTATATCCGAATTCGTGTTGTGTCGGGTCGCGTTATATCGGGGTAGAGGTGTACTTATCTTTTTTCTTCATATTTCTCAAATATTTGTGTATCTTTGAAGACTTATTTCCACACAACATATGGATCCAGTATACTAATGGCTAGTTATAATCTCATTATGAAGGTGGGAAGAAAGGAGGAAAAACATTCCTTGATATTGACTACTACCAACCTCTGCCCTGTATCCATCCCCCAAAACAGTACATTGGTGGGGTGGGGAAGCTACTTTACAGTATGTAGTGGTCTTGTTTTTTCTAAGGTAATTTTTGGTCATGTATGCAAGCTATTGTCAATTTCTGAAGAGAGTATTCATAAATGGAAGGCAAATATTTTTCATATATGCTGTGTATTAGAAAACCTTTCAGTGGGTATTGCATCTTGGAAGAGCTGCTGACATCACATGGAAATCTTTGTTACACGTAGAAATAATTTTACTGTTTACATTTTCGGTCTCTTCCCTTGTTCTTAAAGAACATCTGTATGAAATGTACCTGAGCCGTGTTCTTTAAACCCTCTGTCATCCTGCATTCTGTGGACAGTTGTGACCCCTCCCACCGCCAAGTAGACAGACTAGTGAAATAGATAAGCTTGACAGAACACACAATCCTTCCTTTTATTCAACTGTCCTTAGTTGTGACTTTCCCAAAAATCTCGGATGGAATTATAACTAACTATATAGAGAAATAAAAAAGGCTTTACAAAGGTGGGAAAGCATTATTATTCAAATGCTAGAAATGAGAAAATTTAGGTACAGAGCTTATGTATTGCCACAGAGTCACACAGTGAACAAGACATCTGGGTTAAATTATGCCAGTCCTGACCTCTAACCAATAGACTACATAATCTACAAAAATGCTTTAAAATATGCTCCACCCTCAATTTTCCAGGACGTGTCCTGGACTGGTACATAGGACTTCAGAGTAAGAATACTTTAATAAAGAGGCCTCAGATAAGAACATAAGAATAGCCATACTTGGTCAGACTAATGGTCCATTTAGCCCAGTATCCTGCTTCTGACTGTGACCAATGCCAGATACTTCAAAGGGAAAGAACAGAAGAGGGCAATCACCAAGTGATCCACCCCCTGTTGTCTATTCCCTGCATCTGACAGTCAGAGTCCTTAGGGACACCCAGAGCATGTGGGTTCATCCCTGATCACGTGGACTAATAGGTCAATCAATGGCTATCTTCCAGGAACTTATCTAATTCTTTTTTGAACCCGGTTATATTTTTGGCCTTCACAATCTACCCCGGCAGTGAGTTCCACAGGTTGACTGTACATTGTGTGAAGTACTTCCTTATGTTTGTTTTAAATCTGCTGCCTATTAAATTAATTGGGTGACCCCTACTTCTTGTATTATGTGAAGGGGTAAATAACACTTCCTTATTCACTTTCTGCATGATTCATGATTTTATAGCTCTGTTTCATATCCCTCCTTAGTCATCACTTTTCCAAGCTGAACAGTCTCAATCTTTTTAATCTTTCCTCATATGGAAGCTATTCCATACCCTTAATCATTTTTGTTGCTCTTCTCTGTACTTTTTCCATTTCTAATATATCGTTTTTGAGACAGGGCAATCAGAACTGCATGTGGTATTCAAGATGTGGGTGTACCAAGGATTTATATAGTGGCATTATATTTTCTGTTTCCTAATGGTTCCTAATATTCTGTTAGCTTTTTTGACTGCTGCTGCACATTGAACTGATGTTTTCAGAGAACTATTGATGATGACTCCAAGATCTTTCTTGAGTGTTAACTGCTAGGTTAGACCCCATCATTTTGGATTGTGTTTTCCAATGTGCATTACTTTGCATTTTCAACATTGAATTTCATCTGCCATTTTGTTGCCCAGTCACCTAGATCATTCAACCTGTTCTCCTTTTATAGATTGTGAATTGATCAGTGATTGACAGCCATCAAAAAATCTTTATATTGTCTAGTAGGAACAAAAAAACACCATTTGCTTAACAGAAGCATTTCCAACAGTTTATAGCACATGATGCAGTTGTATAATATGCCCACAGACCAGTACAGTTACTTTAAGCAAATTTAGGTCAAAATATAAATTCAGCTTGTTGGAGGACTGTGAGATTAATGAAGGCTACGTTATGCTTTGAGTCATTTTTCAAACTTCTATGATTGTGTGTGTGTGTGTGTGTGTGTTTATCTAGTAGCAAAAGTAATGTTTATGGTAAATAATGGTTAGTTATCTTTAAAGTAACTAACCATTAAAAGCTAGTTTTATATCTTAGTTTGTAAGGGATTTCTGTTTAAAATACTCTTTTTGTCATCAGAGAGTTAAATGAGGACTGCTCTGTTGTTCTGTACAGTAACATGTGAAAGCAGTTAGAATGTTGGAATTGTTTACTTGCCTAAATTGTCAGTCAGCAGAGCCAGTACACCAGATTCCTTTGTGGCTTTTAGTGGAAAATGTTAAACACTCACTCTTTCGTCAATTATAGAATTTTTACGTGTGAGCTGAATTAGTCACAAAACTGGCACAAACATTCTAACTGTGATGGCTGCCCAAAAGGCACTATTTATTTATTTATTTATTTTGCTAGAGGAAGTCGCATCCAGAGCAGTAGCTCAGTTCTCTGGTAAGTGTAACATGTGAGCATTACTAGGCATTTCATCCTGCAGGTCTGCAGTCTGTGCTCTTTAGACTATTGCTCAGTTCGAATGCTGCTGTGGATGTGAACTGTGCTCTGTTAATATGTTCTATAATGACCAATTCAGGCAGAAGGATTTCAAAGCTTTGCAAGAGCATCTTCTGAACGAACACACAATCTAAAAATCAGCGACAGAAAATTGATATATAGTATTTAACCCTGGAGGAAAATCAGGTTGGCACAGAGGCAGACGTTCGCATAAAGAAGTTGGCTCAAAGAAGATGCACAGAGTCTCATTTTTTTCCACAGTCTGAATGAAGACTACAACGGAAGCTGTATTCACATGATGATCAAAAGAAACACTTGAGTGATGAACTGCTGTTGCAGGAAAAGTCTAAGGCAGTAATTCGAGCTCTTCGTGCTTTAGTAGCTTGCTTGTTTTGCGGAAGCATTCTTCCTTAACAGCATTTCTGCATAGTGGGCTCCCCGTTGGAGCAGCACAGCAACTGCCTGATGGAGGAAAAATGAATGCTCTGCATTGCTTGTATCACTGATGGAGTTAAACTATCTACGTTTCTGTCATTTGGGAAATCTGGATTAAACAGGCAATATTATTATTCCAGGAGTCCCATTGTTCCTTGTGGTCTGACTCATTGCATGTAAATATACTGCAGCTCTGCTGTACATTGCAGAGATCTTTATTACATAGGGAAGAATTGTCAACCTTGGAATATCATGTTGTGAATCATTGCTGAAAAATAGATTGTGTGAAGTATTCCTGACATTAAGACAAATGAAGTTCCAAAATTGCAGAATAAGCTCCTGAAACATTTAGGACAGTGGTGTTTATTTTCAGTCATCGGAAAGCCCAGCACTGTAAATTGGAGACTGACCTTGCAAGACTGGCTATAGCTGTGATCATCTCTGTCAGAGCAATTGTTCCTTGTTTCATTCTATACAGAATGGTGTCATGTAACCTACAACAATGATTTCACTGTGTGGATAAAGTTATTCTGTAGAAGTAGCAATATTAACAAAGGCAGATTTTCTGGTAAAAGGACATACTATAGATATTTACGATATTGAAATTTCTACCATAACCTAGTTAGAGCTGAGAATAGTTTTAGTACATTTTTCACAAATTCACTGTTGTAGTACAGGAGGATGAAACCTTGTTTTTAAAAAAAAGTATATATATATTTTTTTAAAATAGCATTGTTTGAACATCTCAGGGTGTTAAATGAAATATAGTGGGAAAAAAGTCCTTTTTTTAAATTTTAAAACACCAGCAATAGTGTTAACAAGTTATAACTGTTTGTGAGTGTATACTTGGGAGGTAAAAGTACTTTCTGTGCTGTCCCAGCTGTGGTTACTACTGTGTTGTTCTGAATACAGTTTTTTTTTCAAACGGATCGAATGAGTCGAGTGTGTATTGTTGTTTTGGAGGAGGTTGAAGATGATTCTCCCACATTTTTTTCCAAACTACCTCAGGAAAACACATCTGTACGTCCTTCACCTTCTGGAAATGTGTTGGTAAGATATGTCCTCTGTAATAGTGCTGCAAAGGTCTAGTGATGCTTATCATAAGATTTACATGACTAAGCAAAGTAGCACCTGGGTTACTTTATATGTTGAATGAATAGTTCTTTAGTGAAGTCAAAATCACCTATGTTAAGCACCAAGATATTTAAAACTTAGTGATGGAATTAAAACTTGTAAGGGCTCCCTTTTTTGTGTGTAACAATATTTTTGAAGCAGAGTTAACAAATCTCAACTTTGTAGCTAGTTTTATGATAGTACAGTTTTTTCAGCGAGCTTGACAAAATGACATTTGCAGTAAACATTTTCTCTGCTACTTGTTATTGGTTTATCTGTTCAGTACCACTTTAGAAACTGATGTAACCTTTATAATGTGATAATAAGCTGTGTGTATTTTGAGAATTGGTATAGTATCCAGGGTATCTCAAGCAATATCAGTTGCACACTAAAATAAAAAGTTATCAGTCAGATTATAGATGTAATGTAGCTGTGCATTCATGTTCTCACTTATCAGAAGCACTGAAGAAAATTACTTTCTTGAAAACAAAAATTATTTTACTTTGTCACGTAATTTGCTGCTTTACTTAGATCATGATATCATATCACAGAAGTTTGTGATGATTAGGAAATCCAGTTATATTTAGTAATGCCTGTGTGTATGTGTGCATTTGTTTCCATATCATTCAAATATACTCTGCTTCCTTATTCTTCTTCAAACACATGAGTACTTTTTAATTTTACTAATTTACTAATGTAAAATGAGTTTTACATACATTATATACTATTCAAAATATATCCTAGACTACCTGATCTTACTTTGCCACAGGAATTTATTTTAGAAGTCTTTTTTTTTTAACCATTAGTTAAAAACCTAGAAAAATCTAGAAAACTTTTTTTTAATCCAGTGGTTCATTAGTTTGTGTACAAGTTTGTAAAGTATATTGCGGGTGGGGGGAGGGAGGGAAAGGCAGTTAATTGACTTCCTTCAGGCCAAGTTTTGCAATATTACAATAGTTTTTTTTTTTTTTTCCATTTTGCTACCTGGAACACCTTCCTTAGTCTTGATTTGGTATATGACCATTATGTTGTCATAAAAAAATACATGTAGGAGTAATGCATGGAATGTATGTTTGTTTTTAAATACTACTACTTTCTTTTGTTTCAGCCACCGCTGGTTCAAGCTATATTTAATGGGGACCCTGATGAAGTTCGAGCATTAATATTTAAGAAAGAAGATGTTAACTTTCAGGTAAAGAGAAACGTGCCCTTTAGCTTTGAGACTAAATTAATTTCATTTTGGTACAGCTCCAACTCTTTAATGTTCTTATCACTTCAAAATAGTGCTTATTTGCAGATATTTATGAATGTTTTGACTGTTACATAAAACATAACTACATAGATCATGATCCTAATCTCCTTATTTAAACAAATTTCACCTTGAATTTAATAGCTTTGGCTTTGGAAGCACTGCAGTATGAAGGGTTTAAATGTAAAAATGGTCCTGTGGGAGAGAAGGAAGTGAAATTCACTTTGTCTGGATTTTTGTACTAAATTTATTTAAAGAAAAAATAATTAATTGTATTTCTTACTCTGTGAACTTTTAGACTTCCAATTTCCAGTTTCACTGCACAAAAAAACCCACAAAGCTTGTTTACATTAAAGCATTAAAGTTGACTAGAAAATAGGAATATTTTAGGTCTGTGATGTTTTGTGGAGTCTGTCTATTCATTTTTAATCAAAGGATGCACAAAAGTCAACATATAAGTACAGTAAATAATTGAGAAAATGTACAGACAACTTTATTTAGGCAGAGAACATGATCTTGGGAGGATTTTAAAATACAAATCCTAAAAACAAATCATAAAATCATAGAATATCAGGGTTGGAAGGGACCTCAGGAGGTCTAGTCCAACCCCCTGCTCAAATCAGGACCCTAATCCCAACTAAATCATCCCAGCCAGGGCTTTGTCAAGCCTGATCTTAAAACCTCTAAGGAAGGAGATTCCACCACCTCCCTAGGTAACCCATTCCAAATATGTTTATGCATTCATTTAAAATTGGAAGCCCTTGTTCTTTTGTTTTATAACCCTGCAGTGTTGCAAACCCAAACAGATTTTTTGTTTGTTATATTGAAATTAAGTTGACTTGTCCAGTTTCATTATTTGAGTGAAATACAAAAGTTAAAACCACATAACTGGTGAAAATAAAGTACATCTTCAACTATTAATAATTTAAGGTGCAAGACATCAGTAAGGAATTTCATGTAACATACAATTTTTAACTTAATAGTGTCCCATTAGAAGATGAGCCTTAATAATCTGCTACTATCACTTTGCTTTTAAAAAACACTTACAATTTGCACATGTAAGGTCTTCATGCAGCAATTTCTTTCCTCCCATTTGTAACTTCCCAAATTGGTCCTAAAGTGATTAGTTGTCCTAAAGCGTTAATACTGACCACTAGATCCAACATAGTTGGATGCTATCCAGTGAAACACCAAAAAATTACTGTTTATAATTACAAAATTGGGAATATATAGTCTAAAACAAAAGCTTATTCAAAAATATATATTTAGACATTTGAAAGCATTTTGCATGAGATTATGGGGCCGATCCAGTGCTCATTAAAGTAGGTGAGTATCTCCATTGACTTCATGGACCTTAGATTGTGTCCTGTGTGAATAAATACTGTGTGACTTGTCGGTCTGAAAGTGTTGTTTTACAAGGTTAAATTTAATGAGAAATTTTGCAACTCCTATATGAAGTTGCAAAAAAAATTGACTTTGGGTGAGAGAGATCAGTTGTTTATCCACTTGTCTTTTGTTTTTGTTTTTTACTTTGCACACTGTGATTGATACCTTTGTAAGCCTTCCTGTTGCAGTACTTCAGCTCTCTGATATCATTTCAGATTCTTCTGTGATGCTCACTTTTATAGAAGTTGCACCTGATAGTTTTAAAAGAGGATGCTTTTTTATGGATACCAAAGTAGTTCATATGTTTCAGAAGGAAGCTTGGTTCATGTGATGTGATATATAACTTAATATGCTTATAAAATTTTTAAAAAGTTGATTCTTTTCATATGTGCACTTTGACCACATCTTGTACATTCTTTATTATTTTAAAAACCTGATTAGTATTTGTTAGTCACTTTACTCATGCTTTTCAGTACATAAATAAAATTTAATTTTTATAAATTTGGTTCTTGTAAACAAGTTTTATTAGTAGAAGTTGGCTTTTTAATTAAATTATTTTCCATTTCTTTTACGTGAAGCAAAAGCGTCTATTAGTTTTCAGCATGTGTGCAATGTCTTTCCAGCACAACCTCTTGTCAGTCAAATGGAATCAGTTCACAAACATGGATAAACAGATGCACAATCCAATTAGGTAGGGGGTAATATAATTGTTAAAGAATTTATTGGAAGAGAGATACTTTTGACTGATAAGCAGTTATGTTGGAAAAAACAGGAAAAAACAAAGTACTCATAACTCGTGTTTAAATCCTTAGATTTTAATGCTTTATTGCCTCAAAAACAATCTTGGAGGGAAACATGTCTTAGGCATATCATGTCTTTGCCTATTCATATGCAAAGAGGTGCTTAGAAACATAGGCTTTGGCAGACATGCTCTTCTCCGCAGAGCAGCTTCCCAGTCACCCTCTGTAATGTAGACAGGTACTTATCACCCTCAGTGCCTCCTCCTTCAGTGCTGGCCCTGCTACCGTTGGGGAGGTGGGAAGTACAGTTTTCTTAACAGTATGTTCACGTGCAGCCCTTACCACAGCCTGTTTTCCAGTTGCTTACAAACACACATTTCCCCCCCCCCCCTTTTTTTTTGAGGGAACTGAGGAAGCCTGTTTGGTGAATAGTTTAGTTCTTGCTTTTTTGTTTTTTATTTTTACCTGGCTGACACAGGCTATTTATGAGATGGCTAGGATCCTTAGTGTCCCAACCATCCCCTCACAATCTAAATTTCCATCTTAATTATATGCCATCATTGGCAGTGGGAAGGAAAAGGTGGAGAAAATGCAGTTTTCATGATTTGACAATAAAGATAAGAGTTGCATTAGACTATTTAATTGTTGAGAATTATATTGGGAAACAATGACAAACAATGTGTGTATGTTTCTCCATGTCACCATCCAGAAACTTCAGCAGTGGTCTAGGGAATTCCTTATTCATGGTCCATAATGCCTCTTGCTGCTTTTCTGAACAACTATTATTGTGCAGTCAGTATTCTTATAGTTGGAGGATAGTATCCTTTTGTGGGTGGTGGGTTATTTATCATCTTATTTTTCTGTGGGTTGTAGTTCTGTCTCTGAGCTGAATTTATCAAATTAACTTTTCATCTCGTATGGAGTCATCTGACAAAGTCAAGAAGGATGTTGCATGAGCATTTTTGATGTGTCTTGGGGGACATTTTTTCTCTGATCACTCAGTTTCATGTATCTTTTAAGATCATTGTGGATGTTTATATAAAATATTTCATATTCTAATAGTCTGACAATGTTTTTGTAGTTTTGTGGCATCTGTTTATTTTATTGACGCAAAGTGAGATATATCTATGTAGAATAATGTTTGACTTCTTAAAACTAAGTGGTGATTGTTACCACAATATCAATATTAAATGCCTAAAGATCATGACCAGGCTGGGCCCCATTGTGTATTTGACAAACATAATAAAATACAAGTATCAGAGGGGTAGCCGTGTTAGTCTGTATCCACAAAAACAACGTGGAGTCCAGTGGCACCTTAAAGACTAACAGATTTAGTGGATGAAGATGAAGTGGGGTTTTTTACCCACAAAAGCTTATGCCCAAATAAATCTGTTAGTCTTTAAGGTGCCACCAGATTCCTCGTTATAATAAAAGAGAATCCCTAGATTGTGTGTTTTCCAGTCAGACTGGCCCAAAACATTGAGTGAATCCTTTTTAAACTGTCAAAATTTAATGTTTAGCGTTCATGCTACTAGATAGGGAAATCTGGTTATAGGGTATGAAATAAACTTAATTGATTCCCTAATGTGTAAAACCTATTACATATAACAAAATGTCCAAAGATAGCACCAAATGCCTTTTGACAACAAAATAAATACTCTATTGTAAGGCTGTCACTCTTTCTTAGTTTATCCTCTAGTGTCAAGGTGCCATACAAGAAGAATTCTCAGGTTAGAGGTGGTCTTTCATATTATGAGCTGCTGTGCATAACAGTGAGATAACAAGATAGCAAATTTTAGTTATGTTCCGGAAAAAGGCTGTTATGAACTGATATTGGATGCCTTATCTTGAGTCTTAATATCAGTTTAGACTAACAAACTTTATATTATTGTCAGCACTAGAATTGTAACATAGCAGTGAAAGAGCAACTATAATATCTCAAACTGGTCTGTGACTTGCAAAAAGGTCAATAAAGGTTTTCAGTGGAGGTTTGGAGCGTGCATTGTTGCAAACAGTGCAATTTGAGAATGCAGATTGTTGTTGAACTCAGTAGAATTTTTCATATTCTCACTATGCACAATCTAATTGGTGTTCATGGTAACAAATGCTGCTACAGTTATGGTTACATCCAGAGTTGCCATTAAAATCCTGATTACACTTGCTCTCTTAGGAGGGCTGAACCTTTCATACTTGGTCTCAGCCCAAGGATAAACGTCTAATCTCTTCCAGAACATGTCTACAGTCTTAATATGCCATTTACTTGTTTAGGCAGCCACTAAATCCAAAATAGCTCCCCTTCTGCAAAACTCCTAATCTTTGCAAGAGTGGTATTCCTGTGCTGACATGCATATACCAATGTTCAAACCTACCTGTGTGTGACACAATTAACATGTATGACAAATTACTGAAATGTGGCACACCGGTGTATTGTTGTACATTGTGTCTTTGACAGCTTATGGTGGTTTTAAACTATAAAAACCTCTTTCTAAAGATGTTTTCTCATTATGTGAATTAAACCAGTTTCAATAAAACTAGAAAAACAAATACCTTCATGTGTGACCATAAGGACATAGGTTGCCAGTAGGATTTGAACTCTGGACTATAAGACCTCTCCCATTTGAGTAAAGGAGTAACTATTTTTCTCTATATGGAACACACACTATTGGATGAATTGGCATGTGCTTTACCAGCAGATTAGTTATTTGCTAGACAGCAGTAAGATGTTGGTGATACCAAATCATGTATTTTGTTTTTGGATTTGGGAATGGGTGTGATGTATTAGTGGCAAGAGTTGTGGGTGTAGACAAGATAATACTG